GATGTTGTTCCAAAATAAGTGGTTTAAAATTACTCTTACTTTCTGTTAAAATAGGGCAGAAAACGGACAATTCTCTATGAAAAGATGTCGAAAACCGGTCTGTTTCAATCGCTTTTTCTTACTCTAAGGAGTTGTAGTGTACGATGATTAAAATACCCAGGTATTTTAGGTTTGTTGTTCAAACGCATCATTTGAGGAAGCTCTTTCTGGCAAACGTACAATAAAATGTCTGTTAAAAACTCAGTCGAGAAAACAAACAAATGTTTACAAAATGAGCTATTTTATGTTAATATAGACTCATGCAATCAATATGTATATCCTGCAAGGGTACATCTCAGTGTCCATTGGTTCAAAATATTTGAAAAACTCGTTTTTCAGGCGGTTTCGCACAGTATTTCGTGAAAACAGTCGCTCTCAAACTTGTGCCAAATTAGATCAATAGTTCAACAGATAGATCTCGACGAGCTCTGTCCACTCGTGTATCCTACAAGGATACATCTCCGTGTCCATCGTTCAAAATATTTGAAAAAATCGTTTTTCAGGCGCTTTCGGACAGTATTTCGCGAAAACAGTCGCTCTCAAACTTGTGCCAAATTAGATCATATCTGCAGATGTTACTACTGTCGAACTGCATAACCTAAGAACCAGTTACTTGTAAAGACCAGACGTCTGCTTGAAAACATGTTAATTGTTCGGAATGGCTATTGCCACTCTCTGAGGGTGTCAAAACGAGTCATCACATTTTAACTTATGAGTGTAAGTTCCAATACGGTTTATGAATTTCTTTGCATTGAAGTTCTAAGGATGTTTTCTCTTCGGCACAACTGGTTATTGATGTCGCGGAGGTCGGCGTGAATCAGAGTTGAATTGTTAGTGGCTTGCATTGTTTATAAACATCAGCAGAACTAACAAAGCTCTAACAGCTATCTGCTTTAAGCTAGCAATCTACCTTAAAGGCTTTAAAGGCTTTCGCTATCTGTCATCCACAAACGCTTCATAAATTCATTCTCTAAAGTTCTAGTTGCAGGATACTACGCTATTCTTCTGAGATGTCAGAACAAACAAATGTTTACAAAACGAGCTATTTTATGTTAACATAGACTCACGCAATCAATATGTATATCCTACAAGGGTACATCTCAGTGTCCATTGGTTCAAAATATTTGAAAAACTCGTTTTTCAGGCGGTTTCAGACAGTATTTCGCGAAAACCGTCGCTCTCAAACTTGTGCCAAACTAGATCAATAGTTCAACAGATAGATCTCGACGAGCTCTATCAACTCGTGTATCCTACAAGGATACATCTCCGTGTCCATCGTTGAAAATATTCGAAAAAACCCTTTTTCTTGCGGTTTCAGACAGTATTTCGCGAAAACACTCGCTCTCAAACTTGTGCCAAATTAGATCAATAGTTCAACAGAAAGATCTCGACGAGCTCTATCAACTCGTGTATCCTACAAGGATACATCCCAGTGTCCATTCCTTCAAAATATTTCAAAAACTCGTTTTTCAAACGCTTTCGCACAGTATTTCGCGAAAACACTCGCTCTCAAACTTGTGCCAAATTACATCAATAGTTCAACAGAAAGATCTCGACGAGCTCTATCCACTCGTGTATCCTACAAGGATACATCCCAGTGTCCATTCCTTCAAAATATTTCAAAAACTCGTTTTTCAAACGCTTTCGCACAGTATTTCGCGAAAACACTCGCTCTCAAACTTGTGCCAAATTAGATCAATAGTTCAACAGAAAGATCTCGACGAGCTCTATCAACTCGCGTATTCTAGAAGGATACATCTCCGTGTCCAACGTTNATAGTTCAACAGATAGATCTCGACGAGCTCTATCAACTCGCGTATTCTAGAAGGATTTCTCTCCGTGTCCAACGTTCAAAATATTTGAATAAACGGTTTTTCAAACGGTTTCGCACAGTATTTCGCGTAAATACTCGCTCTCAAACTTGTGCCAAATCAGATCAATAGTTCAACAGATAGATCTCGACGAGCTCTATCAACTCGCGTATTCTAGAAGGATACATCTCCGTGTCCAACGTTCAAAATATTTGAATAAACCGTTTTTCAAACGGTTTCGCACAGTATTTCGCGTAAATACTCGCTCTCAAACTTGTGCCAAATTAGATCAATAGTTCAACAGAAAGATCTCGACGAGCTCTATCAACTCGTGTATCCTACAAGGATACATCTCCGTGTCCATCGTTGAAAATATTCGAAAAAACCCTTTTTCTTGCGGTTTCAGACAGTATTTCGCGAAAACACTCGCTCTCAAACTTGTGCCAAATTAGATCAATAGTTCAACAGAAAGATCTCGACGAGCTCTATCAACTCATGTGTCCTACAAGGATACACCTCAGTGTCCATGGTTCAAAGTGTTTGAAAAAATCGTTTTTCAGGCGGTTTCGCACAGTATTTCGCGAAAAGAGTCGCTCTCAAACTCGTGCCAAATTAGATCAATAGTTCAACAGATAGACCTCGACGAGCTCTATCAACTCATGTGTCCTACAAGGATACATCTCTGTGTCCATCGTTCAAAATATTTGAAAAAAATCGTTTTTCAGGCGGTTTCGGACAGTATTTCGCGAAAACAGTCGCTCTCAAACTCGTGCCAAATTAGATCAATAGTTCAACAGATAGATCTCGACGAGCTCTATCCACTCGTGTATCCTACAAGGATACATCTCAGTGGCCATCGTTCAAAATATTTGAAAAACTTGTTTTTCAAACGGTTTCGCACAGTATTTCGCGAAAAGAGTCGCTCTCAAACTTGTGCCAAATTAGATCAATAGTTCAACAGAAAGATCTCGACGAGCTCTATCAACTCATGTGTCCTACAAGGATACATCTCTGTGTCCATGGTTCAAAATATTGGAAAAAATCGTTTTTCATGCGGTTTCGGACAGTATTTCGCGAAAAGAGTCGCTCTCAAACTTGTGCCAAATTAGATCGATAGTTCAACAGATAGATCTCGACGAGCTCTATCTATCCGCTCAAAATACTTTACTTTCTCCTTCTCACACGCTTCAGAAAAGAACTTAGCTGATGAACGATAAGACTCAGTTATAAACTTTAAGTTCACAGAGTAGTTTGCTCGAAGCGCTTTTTTATATTTGTGATATAAACGATTGCGTTTGACATTTAAAGAACTGAGATTATCTGTGAACCAAGGTTTATCTCTTTGTCTCAAAAGAGTTGTCTTGGATGGAATAGATCTTTTTGCTGCTGTTAGTATGCAGCTAGATAGCGTGTTAAATTTAACATCAACATCGTTTATAGCAGAAGAAAAAAGGCTATTATGTGTTAGTAACTGTTGATTTAACAAATAACAAAAATATTTCCAGTCAACTGCTTTGTAGTTATAAATGACGCGCTTTGTAGGTGGTGATGGGTTATATAAAGACTTATTAAAGGAGAATTTAACAGTAGCATGGTCACAATTACCACAAAGCTGATCTAGGACTTCAACCGACTGTATGATATTTAAATTGTTAATTATAACTAAGTCTAGACAAGTTTGAGATAACGGCCTCGTCGACTCACTAACTAAGTGACTCAGATTCATCGCATCAAGAACTTCTAGCAATTTAGCTCCCTCAACGGTAGAATTTGGTGTATTTGAGGTTGGATTTGCTATCCATTGCTTATTGTGCGCATTAAAATCTCCTAAAATTAAAACACCATCAAATTTTTGCGAACGCGTTATTCTGATAATAGTGTCTTGGAAATAACTCAAGAAATTTTTTGAAGATTTCCATGCTTGAATCTGGTCTGTAAAAAACGCCCATAAGAATTTGCCCAATTTTTGGAATAAGTAATGAGAAAAACATCGCCTCAAAATCGGAAATTTCAAACATGTCTAAACGCTTGACAGAAATATTGTTTCTAACGTATAAAAGACAACCTCCACCACTACAACTAACTCGATCTCGTCTAAAAGAACTGTAGTTATTTATCTGGATATCGGATGCTAAGGTTTTGTCATTTAGCCACGATTCAGTTATAGAAATGAGAAGAGGATTTTCATTGTTTGTTAATAATTGAATTAAATCGAATTTTGTTACTGAGCCGGTTTTTTCTGCATGAGCGCATATACTACGTGCGTTAATTAGAAAACAACAATCATTATCGTCATTTACCCGTGTACTATTATTTGTGTTTGACATTTTTTGAATAAAAAGAAAAAATTACTGAACGGCAACTCGAAGGATAGCTCCTAACGGTCAGAATGATCTGGTAAGAAGGATGTATATCATGATGATAAGCATAGACACAAAAGAATAGCGAGGAAAAGAAACGAATTTTTATCATCGTCTGTAATGACGTGGAATGTACAGTAAGAATATACACCTCAACTATACACACTGACATATATAAAGCATCGAAGGTTTGTCATCAGCCGACGATAAAAGAAAGCATAAAGAACAACTTGGACTGGAAGAAGAATAAACGTAAGAGTGAGAAAACGAACAAACAAAGAAAAGATAACTGATTTTGACATACCATGACTTAAAACACGTGGTGACATTTCGCATTCAAACAGCTAATTGTTGATGCTTTTGCTGGGATGAAAACGATTGAGTAACAAGATTAATATCTTGCTCTTTCGAAATTAGTTTAGGTTTTTCATTTAAGCTTGTTTTATACAAAACACGACCATTTCTGATATAAACGAAATGCTTAGATGCTTCATTCAGTTTAGATCGTAATGTGTTGTATAAAAACATTGTGCGATCAGTGCAATCTTCCAAAATATAAAATTTTCTGCCTTGTAATTGCTGTATGAATTTCCTGGATGTCAAAAGCGCGTAATGCGCTTCCCTGGAATAAAAGCAAGCGATAACCGCGCGATGTTTACCGTTTTGTTTAGCCCCAAGACGGTGAACCACCTCGATATCTGAAAGTGAAATATTCATTCCGCATGCAATATTGACAATTTGTTTCTTTGCGTCTTCATCTTCACGAATACCATAAAATCTAAGATTATAACTACGTGAACGTCGTTCAATATCATCTAACTTGAGCTCAGTCTTTAATTGATGTTCTTGATATTCCTGTACTTGTTTATTAATTATATTTAAGCGATCATTGATTTCAATCAATACTAGTTTAAGTAAGATTTGAACTATTTGATCTGTTGATTTTTCAATTGATTTTTCAACGTCATTGTCATTAATTTTGACTATATTCGCAATTTCCTTCTGAATTGAATCATTCTTTAAACATTCACGCATCAAACGCATAATTTTTTCTTCATTGATTGATTCAATTGGTTTTAATACTGATTCAGCATCGCGTTTATGTTGAATTGAATTAACTGACAATGATTTTTTTAGCTGATTATCGTTAACAGTGGGTCTTGAAGATGATGACATAATTTATTATAGAGAAAGTTTTATATACGCGTATGTATAGAGAAGAGGAAGAATTATTCTGACATATACACGTCCGATCTATACATGTAAGTTCGTCTCTGAGTTACAGAGGTGACCTAGTGAGACGACTGACTCAACCAAGCAGTACTGTTTGGAACTTCGCCGCAGAAAGACGAAGCCTCAAATCTCACTTTTACCTCCTTGTTTCTGCCTTTCTTCGTTCGATTAGTTTGAGCTGAGAATAGCTGTGTGTAGGTCTTTTAACATGCTGATTTGGAATTTAAACTTAATTTTTTGTTTTTATGCGTGCATAGCCACTTTTTAAGCAAACGATATGGAGAAAATCATGGTTTATGCACCATTCGAAAAGTCCTTAGCATTAAAATCTCATTAGAAGGCTTTTGCTGGAAGAAAGTGATTTTTAAAATGGAGATGAGTGAGCTTTGGTTTGGTTGTGAAGTGAGAATGCTTTGAAAGCAGTATGACCGGGACCACACTGCTGGTACCAATCCGGTCCCGGTATTATATTTGCTAAATTAATTGATAACAAAAGCCTGTGATAGATATTAAAATATATAGGCTGAAAGAGCAAACATCTCTGTACAAAATGGGTGATCGAATAATAGTTTACCACTAAAGTTAATGGAAGGACACGCAAATCTTTTACCGGGACCAGAAAAACCTTTTGGTCCCGGTGCTCATATTTAGTTTGTACTCCTTTTTTTCAGATGAAGTTTCCTAATAAATATAAAGTATTTCGCATGAATCGAACGGCAATTTTGTTCTCTATATTTCTACACTCTTTTCAAAGTTTTTGCTTTTATGGTTTGGCAGAAATAGGCTAGGAACTGAGAGATAGTGGTCTTTCCGTCACGTTTTCGGGAAAATGGATTTTTCAGAACCAGGTTAGTGTGCAAAATGTTTATTCTCACACACTTAAATGCAGAATTCAATGTTAAACAAATGTCTTTCACTTTAAAAAGTGAAAGCTGTAATTTTTTATAAACTCGAAGATATAAGCTGAAAACGTTTGACAGAAAAGCGATTATTTCTGAAATTCCACATTTTTTAATTCAAAACGTTTTCTGGCCCATCCGTCTTTCAACAAGTTACGAGCTACGCAGAATTTCACGACGAATCTAATGGTATGCTCAAAATTTCAAATTACTTTTTGAAACTGTGCCGATCTTTTACATTTTTTAATGAGAAAAAAATGTATATGAGAAACGAAAATGAGCAGTTTTGTAGAGCTTTCAATTCTCTATCGAATGAGTCCTGAGCCACTAAAGGGAAGTATCTCAAAAATAGGAAAACATTTTGACCCGTTTATTATGGCCTACCCATTAGTATGCGAAATTTAAGTATTCTAGATTCGCATTCATCAGTCGAATGCAAATCACATGTTCTTGTACTGGTATCCGTCGAAAACCATTGACGAATAAATGACAATTAAGGCCAATAGATATAGACACAGTGAAACCTATGCCAGTCAATGCCTGTCGAATTGTACACATTTGTCTGGATTTGAAGGGGTAACGTACCAACGACCCACGGAAATCAGAATAAGAAACCATGAGGTTGGCGGGGGGTCGCCCATCTACTTGGTGGAGTATGTCGCGTGCTCGAAAATATGCTTTCGATGGACCCTCGCCTGAATCCTCGAAAACAGACACTTTGGACCCTCGATATTAGCTTTCGAAGGGTTATCGATTTCGGGTCCTCGGATTTCAAACAGGTAGCGGATCCTCGAGCAAAATTTCGAGCCATCGAACAGACATGTTCGGTACTCCCGAGTTCTCGTCGCACGCTCAAGCGAGCGAGGGCTCGAAAAGTGATCCCCTCCCCGATATTCACCACCCGCCACCGTGAAAGAAAACAGAAAGATACCTGAAGATCTGAATATGTACGTATCTGTACATCTAGATATCTGATATAATTCAAAACTCAAAACTATGAAATGAGTCCGTGGCGGTTTGAAAACAAAACACTGACAACTAAAAGTTAAATACTGAATACTGAATACTAACAGCTAAATACCGAAAACTATACTAACATAAATGGTCCGGAAAGCTGAGTCCGCGGCGTGTGCAGTTTTGTCATGTCTCAGAAATAGACAACTTGTTGATATTTGACGTAACACTTTTTGAGTGAAGATCAATCAGTATTAATATCGACTATTGATATTACTGAAATAGCCAAACAGGAACAAACAACCGTAATCATATGAGGAAAAATAATGCTCCCAACTCGTACCACCACCACCGCCTGATGCAGGAACGTTACTGCCATTAAATGAATTATTTCTAAATGGTGGTGGTCTATTCATTCTTTTTTTTATCTAACTCAACAACTGCAGGTTTGCGGATTAACTAAAACGTTCTCAGTATTAAGTACAAACGTTGATCTTTCCATTTCTCTCGTTTATATATATTTTCTAATAGAGATAAATAATGCAACTGTCACTGACATGAGTTTCAGGCAAACAATCTATTTATGCTTTTATCATATTTTGTTCAATGAAGAAATGTACTGTTAGTGACATTAGTTCATCAAAGATTATTGTTCTGTTTCTCTGCTCCTGTTTTGGATTGCCAAATAACTTCTGACTGTGGTGTAATGTAATTTTTCGCCTTCACATTCGAAAATATCAATTTCAAAATATAATTTCAAAAGAAAAATTCTGAACCAATTCCGACATTAAAGTTATCTGAGAGCAAGCCATTGCCGATACTATAAAAACTATCACAGTTTACAGAAAAATGACAGGTATGTTACAAAATGAAAGACATGTTAATGTCTTTTAAATTCAAGAGACCTAAAAGAAGCGCAAACGCATCCTCTTCGTGATCACATTTTGATTGGAATTTGTTGACAGACTAGAAAGAGATGCAGAAAAAGTATTTATCATTATTCTTGATATTCATATATAAGAGTGATTCTGATAAAAATAGTACCGTTTTTGTGAAAAAATTTCACCCAAACAAAAGGTAAACACCCAGGTTTTTTCTTATCATATATCGATAGTGTGTATCTTGGAGTATCACAAAACACGGGTTAGCAAACTACCTTTACTTTGTTTTCCAGATTTGAAAAACATTTTTCTATGATCGGCGTCAAAACACCTTGCACTTGGTTGCGTTTTGAATATCTTTTGATAGAAAAGAGCTAGAGAACTCTGATTTTCGCCATTCGTAAAAGGAGACTTGGGGACATGTTTTCATAACCAAAATTGTTTTCATAACAGTTTTTTGAAACAGGTTTTCTGGGAGATCTTTAGAAAACTATGCCATCTGTAAACATTTTTCAATAGGATTGCATTATTGCATTGCTTTTTTCTTATGGGCTGCTAGCCCGGGGTATCCTCTTCAAAATGGGAGTAAAGTGAGACCTTGATTTTCCGCGGTTCGGGCGTTGTATCAGATTTCCTACGAGTCCCAGGACTGACACCCTGTAACTATTGGCTCCTTACAGACGGATGCGCTATGGGTAGTCGACCATGCTCAGTTTCTTGGCAATATTTATTTTTAGAAATATTTGCTTATCTAATACAAATGGATACAAAAAGCCGAAAATATCACATAAAATAAAGAGCTGTACTATTGTACTGTGGTTTTTTGAATGTGCATAAAAATTATCTTTTTGACCAAAGATTCAACGAAATAAATTTATACGTACTGCTATGTTTGAATCATCCGACAGTTTTTTTCCTGTTAATAACCCATCACTATTAGCTGATATTTCATGAAGTTCAAGAGTTCCTTTAATTGATTTTAATTTTGGCAACATTTGTTTCACTTTTTCTATATCATCCGTTGCATAAATACATAATTTAATATTTAAACGATCTTTTTTGTCTAACAAGTCTTTTGCATTTGCAAATGGCGCATCTGGGTTAAAAGAGACTGCTTCATTCATGGCGCGCTTAATGGCTGCTCTAACAGCATCTGCTGCTCCTTTTCCATGTCCTGATTCTAGATAAATCCATTTTATTTCAACTCTATTTTGTTTTGCAAATTGTGCTACTAGAAACATGATTGTTTTGTTTCTATATTGGCTGACAGGACTATCGCTAATAATATTCAAATATTTTATGTCATGTTTATTCACCAATGTTTTTAATAATGGTAGAAGAGATGCCCATGCCGCCTCACCCATATGATTACAGTCATCAGATAAACACCCGAATCCATATGATTCTTTTTGACTCCAAACATATCCTGTTCCCAATGAAATCTTTTGTTCGTAATAATATGCAGATTTTTCTTCTCTTGCTTGTTTTAAGGCATAACTTTCAGGCCAGTCGATTTGTAATGTTGCTGTATTATTATTATTTGTTGCATTCATTCGAGCTTGTTTAAATGCATGAAATTGAGATTTAATTCTTTTTATATGATCTTTTAATAAGGTGCAGGCAATGCGAATTTTCAGTAAAAAATTTTTGTTTCGAGTTTTTTTACATCATTTGATAGAGCTTGAGCTGCTGATCACGAAAAACTACCTTTTAGCCTTAGCAAATACTTCCTTTCAATCGAAAAATACGAAATACTCGAAATGTGTCGTTTTTCGGGAAAAACACATCTTTTTCGAAATATGCAAAATTTTCTACTTCGCTCTTTTTTCCAGCTTCTGAAAATAATTTTTTCAGATTCAGCATCAAAACCTGAATATAAAAAAGCTGTTCAATTGATACCAGACCCACAACTCTATTCGTGGTCGCGCTTCGAATCTCGTCGAGTCCACTAGGTATAGGTCGATTTTGTAAACCTATCTAGTTTTTCTACACAAGCGATGGAGGCAAATATTTTATCTCATTCGACTCATCATACCACCAGTCAAAAAGTTACGCATCGCTCTTTTTCTCTTTCCTTTTCTTTGTCGAAAAAAATCGTGTTTACTGGTACCATAGGATAAAGGGAAAGGTCATTTTTAAATAAAATGCATCTTTTTCATCGAAACTGAGTGAAAATTTGTCCATATAGGTAAAAGCTGCTGAAAAATCGAATGAACATACGTCTGAGATCTTTAGAGACCCTTCGAAAGTCCCCAGAAAACCTTTCCTCGAAAGACCATGGTATAAGCAGAAGCACTTCTAACATACGTCTTTCTTTAAGATAATATCTTTTGCAGCTACAGTAAGTTAGTTCGGTATGCCTAGAGGAAATAAAAGGAAAAGTCAATGTAAAGATTTCGAATTCAAGCGATTCATCTGATGATGAATATCGAATGGATATCGATATTCAGAAACGTCGAGCTTTTCAAAATGTAAGTGAAAGTCATCCGAAATCTTTACATTTGACTAGCGACGAGCTGATGCACCGCGCGATTGACTTTTCCTTTTATTTCCTCTAGGCATACCGAACTAACTTAGTGTAGCTGCAAAAGATGTTATCTTAAAGAAAGACGTATGTTAGAAGTGCTTCTGCTTATACCATGGTCTTTCGAGGAAAGGTTTTCTGGGGACTTTCGAAGGGTCTCTAAAGATCTCAGACTACACGAAATTTATATCCAAGGTTTTCCAGAAACCCTTTCCGAAATACAAGAGTTTTTTCAATATTTTTCCTAGATTTCTTATAAATAGAATATAAAATAGCCCAAATAATCTACATTCTGAAGTTTTTGAAATTCCACCTTATCTACCCATGTAAGAAAAGCAACAAAAAAAATTCTTGTACTTCGGAAGATTTCTAGAAAACCCTCTCAAAAACCAGAGTATTTTCTGTCGGCTTTTAAAGCTTCTAGTAAACTGCATAGTATTCAGCAGGTAAAATAGAGTACATCTTGATATTCTGACATAACTTGGATTGATCTTGACTAAGTTATAAATTGGACATCGTGTGAGTAAACAACACTTATGGTAAAAAAAGAAACTTTCTATCAAGCCAGGTTGAGGCGTGGCATAGTAGGTGGTTACGGGACAAATTGTCAGTCAAACCTCACATAACTTCAGTGAAGTGGGAATTACTTGGTAGTGAAAAGTGATAGAAACGTCGGATTTTCGCTGTTGTCTATTCTATATATTTAGTGAACTTTCGGCATATAAAGAAGGCAAATTGAATAACTTACCAGAGCTATCAAAGACCATGCGGTTACGGGACAGAGAAAAGGATTTTTTCGGGATCACAAATTCTGAACAAATTTATGAAAAAACAGAACATCAGTAATAAAGGTAATGATGTAACTGAGTAGAGCGAAGAAAATTCTACAAGAAAGAGAGAAAAAAAAATATTGCTCCATATAAAATAACAGAGAAAATAGCATATACAAAATCAAACGTATCTGAATCACCAGAAAGACAACATCAAAATAACGGTCAAACGTGGATGTTTTGCTTATAATTCGTTCACGATTAAACATAGAAAAGTCGTACTTGCAGCGATTATAAGCCTAACGTTGATGAATATATGAAGTCCGGAGGCGATTCATCAAGACTCAGAAAAGAAACGCTTGGGATCATTTACATCATTCGAACGGTACTATTTTTATCAGAATCACTCATATATATAATTTTACCCAGAATATTGTCGTATATTTGGAAATCTAATTATACCTTTAGTGTAAAACCGCTATCAGTTTTTTATTCTTTTTAATGTCATAGTAAAGACATTTAGTATGTGTTCATATTTTGAATCGTACCCGGAAAAATAACTATAAACTAGGAAGAAAGCAACTAGCAAAATTCCTGTCTAAAAGCACAATTTACGCGCAAGAGAGCAAAATTCTTGTGCAATTTTCCCAACTACTTGTTAAAAAGTGGAATTTTTGTGAATATTTTCACTCGGATATTATTAGTTCTTGTAAGAGAAGGTAAATTCTTGTTTTGTATTTTCTTCTTGTTCTCTTCAGAGTATTTCTTCTTGTTCAGATTCTTGTTCAGAGTATTTTTCGTGTTTGGATGAGAAAACATAACTGGTAGAAAACATCAGGAAGAAAAAACATGAAAATTTTCACAAAAAAATAATGTTGAAATGCAGAAAGTTTTCAGTCTTAGAAAGTCTATATATGAGGCACTGCACGATAGTAACGAACTTTTCCAGCATAGCGTGCTCAATGAACTGTCACAGATTTTTCTCAAATTATCAGAGCAGACAGAGAAATGTGTCCTGAACATTTTTGTCTCTTGGCATTTTTTTCCAAAATGCTGTCCCTTGCCACTAGAGCGCTTGCAACAAAAGTCGTAAAATAAGGAAAAAAAGCGATTTGCCAGTCGACGCAGATTTTTAGCATTCGACGCAGATTTTCGTTCTACATCTGAATATGTATAAATGAAGCTTCCACAGTGCATAGAAAAGGAGAAAAACGCCAAAAACTTCGGATTCTCCAGGGTTTAGAAAAGTTTTTCGGAAAATATTTTTCCCAAGTTGTCTTTGAATTCAGCCACTTCCGTCAACTAAACAATTTTTCTGATTTAACAGCTCCATGCAGAATTGAATTATTTATCGATCTCCGCAAACCGCCGATTTTAGCATTAAATTTTGATTTTTCAGAGATGTTTTTCCGAAGCCCTCGATATTTCGCCTTTGCAAACTTTTCGGAAAACAAAAAGACATGGACTAGAAAGAGAATTTTATGTGCATTTCGAATATGAACTTTGTTTTGAAATACACCCTTTTCTTTACTCTGTGGATGCAATTCTTTTTTACCAACTTTTAAAATTATATAATTTTAAAAGTTGGTCGAAAACGGTTTGGCTGCCGCCGAATGCTATATAATTCAAAGGATTTGAAAAGAAAATTTTTCAGGTTTTTCCGAGGTGGTGTGGACGTTTTTGACAAGAGGCTCCCGAGTGTTTTCTATCATTTCCCTAAAAATTCGACGACGGTTCATGGTAGTACTCTGGGCCTACTTCACGAAACCGTAGAGAACCCTTCAAACGGACCATCTTCGGTTGCAAAAACCTCTTTGCAAAATGGCCGATGACGTTTTGTCTCTGTCTAAAGAATAAACTATTTCTGAAGAACGCTTAACTCAAACAAGTTCAAATTTTTATCTTAGGTAGTACTCAGACAAGACGGCTAGTAGCAAGACGGCTCTGGTAAAAATCTAAGCTCATTAGCATTTGATTTGACGGAGTTATAGCATAAGCAAACTTTTCGACTGGAAAATCGCTTTTTTTCCGTATTTTACGACTTTTTAGGATTGCTTCATACTCTTGCGGTAGTCGAGTCTTAGGCTTGATTCGTGTATTTAACAATTTTTCGATCTTTCCTAAAGATGCAGATATCGCAAACTTTGGGTTTACCGTAAAAGAACTTTATATCCAGATGAAGGAAAAAAGCATTACAATGGTCTAAAAATAGATGTGAGGTCGTATATTGTGAATGGATCATGTAGTATATAGTATGAAGCTTGAATACTATAGTTTCGATCTACACTTCACTTCGGACCTCTATCGATACACGTCTTTTCTATTCGTTTATATATATTACACGAGTTGAAGTTGTGCAATTATGCACCTGTTCTTCTTGACATCATCCATTCTGTGAAAAATAATAATTATGGTAGAAAGTGGAAAAAACAGAATAATGCATGACCTACAATGTTCCATTTTGTAGCCATTAACAGCAGTCATGATTAAATTTAAATT